AGTTAATGTAACGTCTTTGAAGATGAGTTCGCTAGTGAAGCTAGTATGAAAAGTTGCGTAAAAATCAGATGATTTTAATACGAGTATATCTTTGAACTTTCTTTCTCAAAGCCACCGTCCTCGCTTCGTGCCTTTATCCGATCGGTCATTTTTCGCGAAACGGTTGCATGATTGGCTGGCGTCCAAAACTGTTTGGAAAATAATACTAGCGTGCAGCATCGCGGGCACACAATGGCCTGCACTCGATAATATGACGTATATCGAGCACAGGAGTAGAAAATGCTAGAGGAAAATAAAAGAAAAACAGAAATTATCGGAAATACTAAATATCTCGTATTTGTAACGACGCCATAGTGATATCCCTTAAAAACATAAAAATAAGGTAGAGACGTTTCGCAGGAAAAAATCATTTGCAATTTGGGTATGTCTCATCCGTAGGGGATGTGGTGCTGCACAGGGGAATCCGAAAAAAAAGCTTCGCAGTTACAGTAATGCCAAATCATACAAAGAATTCTTTCGTTCTTTTTTCCTTTGCCGCTTCCACTTCTCCCCTTCTCGCTTAATTAAGAAATAAAATCCAGATATCGTCAGGGAATTAAGTACCGTTGGAAGAGTACCATATTACGAGCCATGGACCTCCAGCTTCCTTTACTTCCCGCTAGAGTGCGGTCTGAGCGGTAATTCTCAAAGTCTTAATTGGTCCTTACGTTTACGATCTTGAATGAAGAATCATTCGAGCAAACGTCGAATGCCTCTTCTTAACTTTTAGGACTCACAATCGTCTCGATTTCCATCAACGAATTCGTAAGATCTGACCCCTAAACTTTCTCAATCCCTTCAGCCAGACTTTGGGCTTATTTGCTTCGGCAGTATACCCTCTTAACAATGAGACCGAGCTTACTCTTTAATTCTGTTTCACTCACTTGCTCTACCTTCAATCATTATTTTCTCTCCGTCCTCTTATTATTTCTTTCACGTTTTCAGCTTCCTGATCTTATTCTGTTTAAGATGTCAGCTTAGACCTCTTTTACAATTAAGAGGATCATCTCCAAATATCACGTAAATATCTTGGAAATTTTTTCCTTCCTTTAAGATCATATCGTTACTGTTTTCAAAATTTATAAACTCAGAAAACAAACATAGCGAACCTTTACTAATTTTTCCCAAGGAACTAAACTCACTGCTGCCCATACATTCAATACGGATTAAAAGCTCGAGAAAGCAGTGAGAAACTCATTGAAACTTTAAGTAATACAATTATTAAAATTTCTCTAAGAAAACTGATAAATTATATAATACTCTCGAAATATCGCATATCCAAAAGGATACAAATTATTTGTATATGAAATTTCTCAGTTCCTGCATCTCCTCGCGTCCTTGCGCTACGCTTACAAATTATAACGAAATACAAGTAAAGTTATTCCATGGGTTCTGAGCGGGTCACATTTAACTATGAAAATAGCTCATATTCAATCTCGTGCACCAAGTGACATAATAATTGGCTATTACTGAGTTAACAATGTTAGTGACGATTGTTACGTATATGGTTATGCTATTTATCAACGCTACTTCGATAACATGTTTTCTCTTCTTTGGTCTACCTTCGTTAGACACAGAGATAGTAAGACCTACCGCACGACACCTCGGTACAGTTCTATGATCCTTAATCATCAAAATTATATCTCGGCCTAAGAATACCTACTTCCAAGCTGCTCTGCGAGCAGAGCATCTGAAAGCAGTCATCATAGTAACAATTGCTGTGAAACAAGTAGAGCTACAGTAAAGTAGTATTTACCGGAATTTCCATATTAAAAGTTGTCGAAGATTATTTACGAGACCTTACGGCATAACAATATACACACACCATATCAGGGTGAAATGGGCCACCGATAAAACACGTAACCGTGAACACTTGATTTCGAATCGATCAGATTAATTTAAAGACATTCAATAAAATATGTCATTTTCATTAAACTTAAGGCCCATTCTACGTACCGAATAAAGGACCCACAAACGATTAAAAAATTATTTTGTAACCTTAAATTCGTAAAGTAACCATGATCTGCCATATTGACCGCATACCATAAATGCAAACACCAAGCTGCAAATTCACAAACATTGAACGATAATTGTAATGACCAATCGGTGTCGCGAAAAACAATGATAGAATTTCGAGATATTTTCGATATCCAACCATTTAACTCCGACATGAATTTTATACTGAAGGAGAGGAGGGTTGACGAGTAGCCGTGGAAAGTTAACAAAAGATAAATGAAAAAGTTACATCTGTACATGTGGAACGGCTAAATATAAAATTAAAAGGGCATTTCAGCCGTTTTACGTCTTTTCCTTATTCCTCTGATAAAGGAGCGTATGTGCATACGTGATCTTTATGAATAAGAGAAAATAACATGTAGAACCATAAGAAGGCGTAAGTACTATATGTATGCATAAAAGTATAACGGGGGATATGTGTGTCGATATAATTGGAAATTCGATATATGTTACCAATACTAAAAAACCGTATCGATTTCGAAAATACGTTTTTTTACTTTTATACAGATTTTTTATGTAATTTTTTTTTGTGTATGCCTTTTTCCCATGAAACCGGGCTTTTTGGTCCATACGACCTTTTGAACGACGAACTGAAGAAATATGCAAATTCAAAAATGTACATAAGCTTTCGTTGGTCGCGTAAGGAAAATACGAAAACAAAATTAATAAGAAATCCATTTGAGTTCCTATATCATTCAGTTACGGTTCTTGATCTATATTGGTCATAGAGCTGGCATGTTCAGAAATTGAGATTCCATTTGTAATAGTAAACACAAATACATATATGCTATGTCAACGTAACTCTTAGAAAAATTCTTACTCAAGCCTTCTCCAGTGGTCTGTAACTGATTAAATTGCTTTGAATTTTCAACCGATTTTTCCACAATCACGCGTTTCGTAATAGAGGAATGCTATATTCAAAAGTAAACTACTATGCGGTCTGTCTACACCACTCACAATTCGATTAAAGGAAGCAAAAAGCGTATAACGAATAAATATACACAGAAATCTATTAAACTTTTGGTGAAAGAAAAAAAATGAGCAGTTTAACCAACACAATTGTTGTATGGAGTAAAATTTTTGCAGGAAAAAAAAGGCTTATTTACCAAATACAATTTTTGAAATAGTAGAAACCATTTAGGAGCGATTTTGTACCTGATAAAAAAAATCAATAGAAACAAAAAATTGGGAAAACCATTATCAGCAATTTTAGGGATGAAGTATATTTTTTTAAGATAACAAAGAGGCATCATATTCTATCACGTAGCATTGCCATCTAGCGGTAAAAAAATATATGCAGAAACGTATATACCTACGCAAATACATATTTCGCATATACGCCCCAGAATGGTGGAAACCTTGGGAAAAACAGGCTGTATATATTCCGCGTGTAGCGTTCATGCGATATGAATTAAATTTTGCGTATTTATCGTAATTCAAAGCACGTATTGACGGCACGTGATGTGAATGCATACGTATTTATACTGTAGGAGCTTTTAAATGCCGCCATGTCACGTGGGGGGTCGCTTTTGAGCGCATCCGCAAGGCTCTCGGAGAATGCCGCGAGATGGCAGCAGCGTCAACGTTAATATAAATAAAATGTCCAACCGTAACGGATACACCTGGACAGATTTAGCATTATTGATAAACGCGAATCGAAAGGCATTCAATATTATTAACAAAGAGTTAACAAACGTCTAATAAATGAAAATTGACAGATCACAAAAAGTAAAAACCTATGCTAATAATTCATGTGATGAAATATCGTCGGCTGTCAAATTACGAGAGAATTAGTATATATGTATATAAATGTACGTACCCGTCCATTAATTTTTATTGTTATTCTGTACCTATGTCTATTCTGCATCCACCTATGGATTCACACGTACAAAATATTGACTCTGTGAGATCGACGTAGCACGTTGAACGTCAAACTAAAAATGACCAGATTTGTTATTCGTGGAATGTTTAAACAGAAACGTCAAAGTCGGCACTGAGAGAGAATGAAATATCCCTAGAGTAGGTTTGACAGAATTGACAATGCATCATGGGGGATCCTATAGGTACAATGAACAATGAGAGACGAAGGATACTCGGTATGAATATGAGAGAAAAACACGGACAGTGAATACAGGAATTAATGAACTATGAAAATGCTGGAAATAATTTTAGACTAATTTTCTTTCGAACCAGATGAAAAAAATGTCATGTCCTTACATGTGCCGGATTCGTCTTGAAATCCTCTAACAGACAGGCGTAAAAAAATTATATGTTCAGTTGCAAAAAAATTCGAGGTAACCTTGAAAAAACCTTAAAAAAAAGAGTCGACCAGTAATTTTTCACTATCACGTTAAAGCTCTCTTGAAACCATGCAAAAGCTAAAAAAAACATTTTCGATCGGACTGCTAATAACAAAGTAATCTCTACTGATCATGCTCCGTGGTCCACCCTGTATATATATATTATATATATATATATATGTATATGTATATAAGCTTGTAAAGGCACAGTTTTGAGGATATGTAGCACTAACAAAGGCAATCCGATGTATTTAAAAAAAAAATCTTATAAGACAATACTCAATTTTCACGTGAATCTCCTGACGATCAAATCCACAGAAAGTTCTATAGGCGTATATATACACTGAATTATTTGCAAAGGTGAATTCGCAAATGTACCAGTTGTCGAACAGTTGAAAATATTGAGGAAGCAATATGGCAAAATTGTTAAACTGGACGACGTGTATCGCAGCGCCGAACAATGGATGCTTCTATTCGATCGGGAACTCGTTGACAAAATGTACAGATTGGAAGTTCGATGGCGGATGAGAGTATTCATCGCGAAAATCTCGAAATATCTTGTGCAGATGTACGATTTTTATAAAAGGAATTGTGGACTAGCTTCAAGGTAAGAAAATATTGAGAAACATACCATTTTCTAGATAACATATAGGCACCAAGATTACACGAGCCAAACGTATCGATTGAGGTTGGTCACGTTCATTTCATTTCTCAAATACAACCAACTTCAGTCGGTGCGATCTTATTTGCGATTACTTGATAACTATAATACTGCAGTATCATACAAATGATACTACGACGTCAAAAAAATGAAAAAGTGTGAGGTTACATGCTTTTTTTTTCTTCGATGGATAAACTACGATCTTCGAATGTATTTCAGTAACTTTTAATTATTCTTCGATTCAAATTAAACATTAACCCTAAGAATTGCACATTGGACCCCATAAGAGATTTTTGAGATGCGAAGATGCTAGGTTATATAATTATATCTCATTCCACGACGATTCATATCCTTTTACGTACAGGGTTATCGACGGCAAACGCACCAGCTGAAATTGGCCGTGAATGGGTGATTTCGTGAATCAGAGCAGGGTGGCACCGTGGGAACAAAAGCTGTCAAGAAACAAGCTGTCCACTATGGGCTTTGTCTTAACGGGTTACATCTGTTTCGCAGCCAAAAAATATGACGTTTTCGTGAATTGTTTTTGTGAAAATAATTGCAGGTTTTCAACTTTTTTTTTCACAGCGAAGAGTATGATTTGAAGTATCTTTTACAATTTTGTTATTAAAAAATATTCGTAAATATAAGAGATACAATGAACTTCGCAAATCACCGTTTAGAAAAAAGTCCTCCGCGGTGATCACTGCTGCTCGGAAACAAATCCTATGAAATCAAAAAATGAAATAGATTTGGTTTTTCTCTTGTATTATCTAGTCTTTAATCGAAGGATTCAACAAAATAATTATTTTAAAAAAAATGATCACCAATCGAAAGTAATCGTTAAAATTTTGGTGAAAAAAAAACACATTTTCCTTGATATAAAAAAAGTATGCACAAAGAAAATCCTTTGATTAAAGCCTGCCTTTTGATATACAAAAAAAATATATGCAAAATTTCAAGTAAATCGGTCTTGTCGGTTTTGAGATATTGTGGTCACCGATTCTGGAAATGTCATTCTGAAAAGAATGCGTTTAATGTTTCGGGTCGGGTATATACGTAGATAAAATGTAATTTATTACCTCTAAATGTAACTCTTTCAATTTTGAACGAATCAACCTGAAATTTTCAGAAAATATTCTTGATCTGATATATTATAAGAATCCGTCGAAAACGAAAAATCGATATTTTGTTTAAATTTCAACTAGATGTAACCCCGTAACAGTTTAAAAAATTGTTTAAAACTCAAAAATCTTCTTCAAGTTATTCTAAAATACATCAACTTAATTTTGTTATAAAGAATAAAAAGTTCTTACTAAAAAATTCACAATTTGACGCCTCAAAGCACTTACCCCTTTCACGCATACATGCCCCTTTAACAGCAAAACAACGGAATATGCAACACTTCATTGTACAAAAATGGATCTTCCGATTATACAAAAAGTACTTGTTCACATTATAAAAAAAAATGTACAATTCCTCGCGAGTCATGTAAAACTTTAAACACTTGATGGAAACATAATTCCACGGAGAGACAGATTATAGCTTTCCAGATGCATAACCTTGTGCATTTCCCATACCGGATTTAAATAGTAAACAAACGTTATTGACCCTCGTTGTCAATATATAGAACGAGATCGAGAAATTCATTCTGCTGGCTCAAATACACCCGAATCAAAAAGATAAAAGACTTGATGACGTAATCCTATCATTAAACACAGCACCACGTTTCATTTGCTCATCATTCAGGTGAAAAGTGTTGACATTAGCGGTTGACAGTGGAGTGGGTCCAGTAAATACTTCCAGTAATACAATCCAGTCATCAACGTCAGTAGGGCAATCTGAAATTGCACAAAGAATTCTCAAAGTGTTGCCAATTGAAATTACACAAAGAAACTTTCCATGTCATACCAAAGAGCAATGTTGGTTCGCAGTGCTTTGCTCGCTGGTGCGAAAGGTAACGTGCTTAATATTGGCTTGATTGAACGTTATGCCAGCACAGTGTTACAAGCGGATGTAAAGAGTCCTGAGGAAACGGAATGGAACGAGGCCAAGTCATTCGATGAAATACCAGGACCAAGGGCACTGCCGATCGTTGGGAACATTTTCAGATTTCTTCCTCACATAGGTACAAAGCACAGTTCTGTAACATATACATTATTTATATAATCACACGAGGTCCACGGAGAGCCCCAAAAACACTTATTACTAATGGATAAAAATTTTACAAAGATGATAAGTACCATTTCAAAGCTTCCCAATTTTTACCATTCGAATACCATGCCCAGCAAAGACAATATTGCACGTAATTTGTACGTAATTAGCTTTAAATTGCCTCGCCGTCATGTAACGTCAATGTTATTGCATAACCATTCTACGTTATACAGATTAGAGGCAATACAGTTACCGCGTGAGTATCATGTGATATTGTCTTTTGCTGTATTACGTTATTCAGAGTGAAATATCCCAATTGAAGTAGTCTGAAAGCCATGACGAAAAGCTGATATCTAATATCAGACAGAAGATAAGATAACGATGACCTTGAGTAACTCTGTATTATAGGTAACAAACTTTAGCAACGAATATAAGAATATATTTTTTAGGACTTTTGATATAAAATTCAATGAAGACTTTTATTTGTTTGCTTCGCGTGCGATTAGCGACTGACTTCCCTGCCTCTGGCGACCCGGCGTCATCTATTTCGATTCGCGGCGCGGTAGATGTTCCGGTAGCGCGCGAATTTTCAAATATCTCGTCTTCCCACATATACATATGTATTATTTCAAACTCGAAAAGTTTCGGATACGTTGAAATTAGTGATAACTATTGGTCCACCCTGCATACCAACAATAGCGCAGCTCGTTGAAACGTTAAGTCAACACAGCTTGCCGTTACATTGAATTGTATCCAAAGGTGAATTCGGAAATCAGCCGGTCATGGAACAAATGAGAAATTTGAAAAAGCAGTATGGCCCGATTGTTAAACTCGACGGTATACCGAATCGTCGAACAGTCGTATTTCTGTTCGATCCGGAACTCAGCGAGAAAATGTACAGAATGGAAGGTCGATGGCCGTCCAGAATTGCTATCGAGTCAATGGCACTGTATCGCGAGGAGAGGCCCGAGATGTTTCAAGGAAATTATGGATTAATTACGAGGTAAGAAATAATTGAAAAAAAAAAACATTATTTTCTACAGTCAGTACAATCGTACCGGCGAAAATTATGTAACTTCTTTATCTGATCGAGCACTGATATAATGCAGTATCTTGTGAACGGTACTATAACGTCGCAAGTTTAAATAAATATTTTCCATCGTTATTTTCTTTTGTCCTTGACGAAGATAAGATTACCTCGTAAATTTTATTTATTGGGATCTTTATTTATTCGTTACCCTGCATCTTGTCATTTTGTAATAATTTGCAATTTGCAAAATTGAACGAGCAGGGACGAATGGGTCGGGTTGATCTCTACGATTGCTCTTGTTCAACTGTTGGGAAGTATATTGCGGGCCTTCTGTATGTTATTAATAATTCAGGATAATTTCTTGTAAATAAGTAAGGGAGTCACATTAACCTCTTGTCAAACTTTTGTCATTGTAAAAAAACTGTTTTCTCAACTACTCCAGCCAAGGCGAGGAATGGTACAATTTTCGTTCCAAAGTAAATCAACACATGATGCAACCTCGAACGATAAAACCTCACGTTGGACAAGTCAATGAGGTGGTTCAGGACTTCATTGAAAAAATGCGCAAACTTCGAGATCCGGAAACTCTGGAACTTCCGAAAAGCTTTAACAATGAAATCAACAAATGGGCGCTTGAATGTAAGTATGCGCAGTCAGATGTCCATGTCAGTCCATGCCCTCGAGTAGGGATGCTGGCCAACCGGTGCCTGGCAGTAATCCCCACTCCGAGGCACCCTTGACGCTCATCGTACAGCCGTACCCCATACACTTCTTAAAATAATGGAGGTGCTGAAACATCTTAATATTAAATAGGCCTTACGGCTTTTTAACCTCTAAACTGGTGCATTTCTGTTCTGACAGTATGTCCTCAGTTGCCGGAACACATGTTCAATATACTATATCATAAGGGGATTGAGACTGTCCAAAATTATGCTGCTACTCTACAGCCTCTATATATGTATATACTTTCGGCAGTCAAAAGTGGTTACGAAATTGATGAAGAAATAAAAAAAATTTATTTCAGCTATTTGCGCAATCGCACTGGACCAAAGACTCGGATGCCTCGAATTTGATTTGCCGACAGATTCGGAGCCTCAAAGGGTAATAAATGCTATACACGACATGTTGGAACTCTTATATAAATTGGAATTTCTTCCCTCCTTGTGGAAAGTCTATAAGACACGCAATTTTAAAAATTTGTTTCGTAACTTCGATATCATGAATGGGTACGTGTGTGTCTAGTGAAATTTTGTGCGTTGTTATTTGAAAATATAAATTCTTTTAAATCTATAGTCTACGATGAAAAATACTTGTGAGTGAAACGTAACCATATGTCACATTGAGCAATTGTCATCTAGAGGATTGTGTCTTTTTAGAACTATCAACCAATACATAAGGCAGGCTAGGCAGAAACTACGTGAGACAACGTCAATGGACAACGAGGAACTAAGCATGCTGCAACGACTTGTAGCTATCGACGAACAGACAGCAAATGTCATGATAATGGACATGATGCTTGGAGGAATAGATACTGTAATATTTTTTTAATTATGATTTTTATTCTACAAACTTCTAGTCAGTTATTCCAATTGTACTACATGTCTTATCATATATCAAGCCCGACAATTTTCTAGGGAATATAATGAATTTTAATGAGTTTCACCTTCGTTGAATTATACCATGTGAAATTTCATAATTCTTTTTTAATTCCCTAGACCAGCAATGCCGCCGCAAGCGCTCTCTATCATATTGCGACTAATCCTCAAGCCCAAGAGAAACTCCACCAAGAAGCAGCCAAGGTGTTGCCAGAGAAAGATTCGCCAGTAACTTACGAGGCGCTTAATAAAATTCCCTATACGAAAGCCTGCATCAAGGAAGCCCTGAGAATATCACCCATCGCCTTTGGTAATTTAAGAACTATGCAAAAGGACATTGTACTTGAGGGCTATAAAATTCCTAGTGGTGTAAGTATAATTCGTATTTCTCGAATCTTTCATCAAGCATCTTGAGTGTTCGGTAAACATAAATGTTTAATTAGTCATTTCAGAATTTTAAATCCGTTCACAGAAAGTAGAACATAAGAAAGAGTCAAGCCAGAGCCGCACTGGAAATCCTTGCTAAAAAA